CTAGACCAGCCATGCTTCATTTTTCCAGTTAGACCCAATGATCTGAAGGCACACACAGAGTGTTAAATGGGTAGCATCCCACTGCGAGTATGGAGTCTAATTTATTCAGCCAAACCTTACTCCTGGTCTTTTAAGTTGGTTCCAGTTTTCCACTATTACAAAAAAAAAAAAAAAAAAAAAAAGCTCGTGTAAACATCTTTGTTGATAATAAATTTTTTTACACCTGTCCAGCTCTTTTCTCAGCATCAACTTCAGCAAGTCGAACTGCCAGATTCAGGCATTTTCATATTTCAACCTTTGATGCATGTCCCAGTCAGCCTTCCAGCAAGAGTGTGTCAATCCTTAGTCCTTCCTACAGCAGTGTGGGAGAGAGACTGTTTGCCCACATCCTCATCAACAGGTTCCCATTTTTAGTATCTTATCCCAGAAATTGGATGTAAAAATAAATAGGAGAAGATGGTTTCAGGCTCTGAGGAGGAACTTTCCTAAACTGATCATTTTTTTCTGTCTTGTTTAATTAAAAAAAAATGAGACCAAGGCCATGCTACTGCGCAGACTTTCAGTTGTGAGTGTGGCAATTAGAAATGGGTCCCCAGGATGCAGCCAATAGAATGATCCAATATATTGTACCCATTACCTTAGGAAGGACTTTATAACACAACTTCAGGCAGATCTGAAGTTCAGTTCCAGCTCCAGCCCTTACTAGCTGTGTTAACCTTAGGCAAGTGTCTCTAACTGTATGTGCCTCAATGTCCTCATCTGTAAAATGGGGATGGCGAATGTGGTACATACCTGAGGGAGCAGTTGTGTGAGGCCATCCCAAGTTGTCAGCTCTGGTCTGCGATGAGCTGCTGCAGCTGGGGACTCACATATCCAGTCAGGATAAGGCCTTGAGACCCAGCCCCAGTCCTAGTCTCTGTGCCCCCTTTTAGCCTGCCCCTGAGACCCCTGGCAGTGGCAGGATTTCATGGTTACCCAGATCTCAATCATGCCTCCTTCCCACTATGCACAGGAGAGCCTCTGTGTCACTCTGAGATCAGCCCCACCCCCCTCTCTCCCATCTGTTGCTAAGGGGAGTGGTTTCCGTGGAGGAAGACATGGCTGGTCTTGAGCTATCTGAAAGGAGAGGGGTGCCTCTGACTCGTGGGCGAAAGAGAAATTCCTTGGAGACACACAAACCATGCATACTGGGGGTAGGGGTAGGCTAGTATTCCTGTCCAAGGAATCCACTTCAGCATTCATTAAGTGTTCCCTTAAAACAGCCCATCGTCATCATCCTTAAACACTCAGGCATTTCTAAATCTACTCTCGTGCTTGTCATGGGCCAGGCTCGGTGTAGTTCCTGGAGCCAGACTGTCACATCCTCATTTCAATCCTAAATAAGCACTGTCTGCCCAGCACGGGAAGCATTTAGTTTTTCCTACACTTCCTTCAGTAGCAGAGTAATGTATTCTAGCAGAGGCATAGCAGCTGCCATTCTTGAGAGTCTGCAGTGAATGGACCAGCCCTGTGCTAATCACTCATACACAGGGCACACCTGGGAAAGGCAGGGCTCATTATCCTGAATTTACAAACCTTGGTTTCCTTGTACATCATATGCAGATAATAACACCTACATGAGAGGGGACCGTGAATACCTAAGAGACATGTAGGAAGCATAGGCTTGGAAGTCAGTCACCTGGAGTCTGACCTCTGGCTCCACCACTCACCAGAAGCACGACCCTAGGCGAGTTTCTAAACTTTCCAGCTGTTTCCTCAGCTGAAATATGTGATAATGGTAATGCCTATCTTACGCGGTTGATACAAGCGAGGATTCAAGGAGCTAATGTATTTAAAAGGATTGATACAGGATGATTGGCACACGATAAGCTCTTAAAAATAACAGTTGTAATGATTTTTATTCTTATCATTATTATGGAAAGATCAGGAAGAGAAAAATTCAGCAAAGGAGAACAGAGAATTGAGCACCAAAAAGGCCAGGGAGGAGGGACCCGTGAGAGAGGGGTGTCATGGAAACCGAGAGAAAAGATGCCAGGAAGGAGGGAGATGATGCAAAAAGGGCACTCAGAGGCCGGTATCTTCTGACAAGACAAAAGAGAGATTTTCATCTCTTGGCGACCAATGAGAATGAAGGCAGCAAGGAAGAAAATAAGCCCAAAGCTTTCAATGAAGGATAATCCGACACAAAATTCTTTAAAAGCCTTCTTTTGGCTAACCCCGTTCATCTGATCTGATCTGAATACCCAGATATCCAATTAGGGAGAATATATATTTCTTGAATAAAGGAAAAGCCAATGTCACACAAAGTGAAATAAAAAAGAAATGTCAGGTTACATCAGGTTGGTGAAATAAAAATGTAAACAATTTCAAATTTACACAGCAGAGAAGTGGACAGGGGGAATGGAATGACAGGGGGATGAATCACAAAACAGGGTTTCAAAGCAGTGGTCTATACTGGACGCCCAAGCTCACTCCAGTGCAAAGGAGGGTGGTGGTGTGGACAGAATTTGTTTTTCTTTTTCTACTCTACCTGGTAACGGAAAGAAATCATTGCAGCATAATCTGTGTCTTTGGGTAAATCATTCAACAAGTGTTTATAGAGTAAAACTGAGAAAAGGTGAGCAGGAAATGGAACAATATTCTAATCTGGACTAGATGAGAAGGGTAGACACCCCCCCAAGGGTAGATTTAGGGAGGGTAAGGATGAATTAAGGGTTAAAATCTATATAAACTGGGAATGTTAGGATCACCTGTAGCTTTGGAGGCCTCAGTGAAGCTGCCTCCTGCCTGGGGGTCTGGGAGGGGTCCCCTTTGGCTCTGAAGACATTAAGGTTGCTGCCAGCGGCCCAGAGATGCTCAGGAGGGATGCAAGGAGTGGTGTTCTTGAGTCTTTTCTCCTGACCCAGTTCTTGGCTAAAGAATCAGAGGCAGAAGGATCCTCCCAGCCTCCTTCTGGCCATGAGGGTTAGGGAGGCTGAGTCTTACGGCAAACTTTGAAGGCTAGGGGAGGAGGGGAGGGGTGATAGGCAGAGCACAGGGGGCTGTGCCTTCACACCCTCCACCAAGAGCTCAGTGTGGCTCCACGGGGCTGGCAGGGTGGTGGCTGTACATTTGGGGGCCATGAACCAAGGAGGAGAAAGAAGCCAGGGGGAGCTGAAGGGCTGTTTCCAGAAAAAGCAGCACTTCAAGCCAGGTTCTGGGCGTGACAGCCCAGGGCTTCTTGTAGCACCTGGCTACCACCCCTCCCTCGTGGCCTTGGCTTGACCCCCTTTTGTCTCTACTGAGCATGCCATCAACTGCTAGCGTAATTAAAACCCTAATACACCTCCCCAGGACCTTCACCCTGAGCCATTTTTGGTACGAGACAGCCCAGAGTTCTAAACAAAACCCTAGGGTCTGTGATTCCTCCCAGGCTCCCTGTCCCAATCTAGGTGTGAGTCCCGTGGTCACAGTGCCCTCCCGTTTCCCCTTATCCATCCAGCTCTATGCTTCTCCCTGACACACCAGCTCACACTGCTGCATACTCTATCCTCTCAGCTCTGTGGGGCCCCTGTGTCCTGCATGGCAGGCTCCCTCGGGACCCCAGATCTGCACGTTCATTTCACTCTCTACCCCTGCTTTAAATGCAATCATCCCCATCCCCTCCTCAGCCTTGTCCTGCTCACAAAAATAGGGACTTATTTAGGCACCTACAAGAAACATAGGGACCTTTGGGGCCTGGGGTCACACATGTCCTCCTTTATTATCCTCCAATATGAGACCTGGAGATGGGACAGAGCTGGTTCCCTAGGGGCAGGTTCCTGGGAAGGTCCCTCTTTTCTTTCCCTCCCCCATGAATGCCCTCTGCTCTGCTAAAATCATGTGTAGGGGCTTCCTGGCTTACTGATCCTCATGTTCCTTCACGTGCCCTGGCAACTAGATCACTTTTCATCCCTCCCCAGGAAGGGACTGGAGTCCTCAGGCTGCCTGCGTCCAGCGTGAGGCTTGGGCACTATTAGGAGCTGAGCTCCCGTGAGCAGCTGCTCTCTCCTCTCCATAATTGGGGAGGGGGCAGAGGGCAGTGTCAACTCACAGGAGAGATTCCTTGTTGTGACCAGGATATTGTCCAGAAGCAGCAGCAGCAATCTAAGGAATCCACCCAGAGGAGGAAGAACGGCTTCTCCCCAAAATGAACAGATGTGGAGCCCCTGGAATCCCCACGTTGCGCACCAGACTTCGCCACCATCAGACTCCTCTGGATACATTAGAGAAGAAAGCACTGGGGTTTTGTCAACTAGTAGGTGCCATAATTTGGCTCTATGAGCTAGGGGACAGGTCACCAGTGGTAGGGGGGCTCTGTCCTTTTACCTTTGGAAAATATTTCAGCCCATTTCTTCTTCCCTTTTCTCACCTGCAAAATGAGCTTGATAAAAAAACCCCTCTCAGAGTACTATCCCCCTTTATAGCTTTTTACTATATTTTTCTTATTTTTCTTTACTTCTTCCTAAAATAATGCCACAGAGACATTAAAAATCAATGCTGATATATATTTATTGACATAGAAAGAAGCCCACGACATATATTGTTTGGTGAAAAAATACAGAGTATAGAACATCACTTATATTTAATCACTTTCATCTATACATATATCTAACTGGGTACATAGGTATAGGGAAATATCTAGGCGGACACTCATCAAAGGGTTGACAATAGTTATATAAGGGTCGAGAGTTTGGGGTAATTTGTACTTTACTTTTTGTACTTTTCTTTAAAGATTTAACAACGAATGGTACCACTTCCACAAAGAGAATAAAGCCATCAAGGAGATGGGCATACACAGAAAATAGACCCATAGGCAGCGGGGTGAGAAAGCAAGGACAGAGGTCAGGCCATCTCCCTCTGCTATGCTGGTATCCAGACCCTCTTCTCCTCCACCCCAAAAGATAGCCACTTTGTGGATTAATTCATGCAATTAGAAGCACCCCCCCACCCCCAGTTTTCCCATTACTGGACTCTTAATATAGGTAAGGGCTCATTTAAAACTGGGGGCTACCACCTTCCTGTGGCTCAAAGGGGTCACAGTATTCGCCAGGGGCCTCTCCTGACCCTTCCTCCTCTGTATGTGTCAGCTCCTGCAGGGTGATGATCAGATTCTCAAAAACCTGGGCCCTGTTGCTCTCATTGTCACAGGTTTCTTTTGAGTGGCCCTCCTCACCACAATATGAACAGCGGATTGTGTGTTTTCGCTTCCTGGCTCTACGAACGTCCCCAGGACCATCATTCTTTTGCCCAGAACCACGACTGGTAGAAGGAGCCTGAGACATGGAATTGTTGGGGGAATCAATGACCAGCACTTGATCCTGAGATCTGGCCCTGTCTCTGAAGGAGGGGGCACCCAAGGATGAAAGTGGAGGGTCCTGAGACTCCACCAGGATCACATCCTCATCTGAGTCATCCAGGCTATCATCTATCTCTATTATGTTGCAGTCAGCACTGCCAATCACTATGGGTGCGGAGCCCTGAAGTGTCACAGGGCTGGCTGCCCTGTCCACCATTGACTCAGATCTTTTGGGCCGCTTCCATTTAATAAAGGTGTCATCCCAATCCTCTTCCTCCCTTATCATCCTGATTAACTCCAGGAAATTGGGAAGGCGCTCCTGCTCATTTGCATACATCCTGAGAAGATCCTTAAGCCTGAAGCGCAGGTTCCTATTCAGCTCAGCCCCTAAAAGGAGCTGTTGCAGGCGAGTCTGGTTTGCATCCTTCTCAGCGAGCATGCCTGCCTGGATAGCATTCTGGAGCTGCACCTCTAAACGGATCACATAAAGGGAGGCTTTCTCGCCTTGCGCCTGCAGGGTGTTAAAGAATTTACCATGGGCAGTCACACTGCTTTCAGACTCCCCGAACACCAATTTCATGGCCCTCAAGAAATCTGCCACACTTAAGTTGGGGTTGGCTGCCTGAAGCAAACGCATGACCTCCCGGGCAGGGCCCCTAAGGGTTTTCATCAAGCGCTTGAGCTTCTCCTCCTCAGACATATTCCAATCTGGCAGGACCCCATTGACTTGGATCAGCCAGTTTTCAAAGGTTTCTTCCCCCTGGGCCGGCACCACACTCCCTGAGAACAACTTCATGTTTCTCTCTGCCATGTTGGCCATTAAAGGACCGAGACTCCTCCCCAGGGACCTCAGCATGGAAAAGGCCCAAGGCGGCAAGGGTGCATTCTGCCGCCGGCTGTTACCCACACGTGCAATGATGCTAGCCATGACTGAGGATGACAGGGTATCTGGATATAACAAGATGCTCAGGGTGTTTAGAAAAGCCTAATCTGCTGGCGTTCAGGGAGAGGGGGTGGTTCTTCCTTTCTATCTCAGTAGGGGCTGTAAAAAAGAAAAAAGGGGGGAGACAGTTAATAAGGGAACAGGCTGCAGCTGCATTCTCTCCCTACCTGGATATCCTGCAGTACATTTTATATTTGCCCACTGCCCTAAAAATATCCCGCAAGAGACTAGCAGTTACAACCTCCTGGAGCTACTTGGTGTGTGCCCGCTAGCCAGGTGCCTTTTGCAGCCTCATCCATCCTCCTCCCGCCAGTCCTTCAAGAGGGACAACTGTTGCTTCGAATTCTAGGTGTAACAGTGTGTAGAGCCAATATTGGACTCTCAAAAGAAAGCACAATGGTCACAGATTTGCAGGGATAAGATCTCATTAACCTCATAGTCTCTGGTCTCGACCACACCCCCTTCTCAGTCTCCCCCACGCCCCGTTATTTCTCAGATTCTTACACGAGCTCAGATGCAAGAGCGCGCCTTTATTTCCAGCCTTTGCAACCGGTGCCCTCCGTGAGAAATTTCGTCTCGGAGATATGGTCAATCTCTGTCCACAGGGGGTCGCAGATCCGGGTCCTCTAGGCGGGCATCAAGACTGCGCCACAGCGGAGGCGGCCAGGGAAGGGAAGGGTCACAAACAGCTTCACCCGTCATCCTGCTACTCCCTCCCTCCACAGTCTCCGCTGTCGCCAGGTGGAAAATTCCCTCTGCCCCCTTCTGAATACAAGCCAAAGTCTCCCCCTCCCCATTACGTGTCCCCCAGGAAACCGCCGGCCTACCAGCTCTGCAATCAGCTGCACAGAATTCAAGTCCAGGTGTGCCTTTGATGGCCAGCTACGGAGAAAGGGAATAGGAGTTGGACACACCCACCCACATATTCCTCCCCGGGAAGGGATGAGGAGATGCCAAGGGAGTTCAAAGCAAACAGCTTGCGAGTCCCAGCACCCCCCCCCCCATGCAGGCAAATCCTACCCAGTCTGCAGCGTCCAGGTGAACCCCACCTCCTCCCTCAGCGCAGCCGGGCCACGGGAGTGCTCCTTCCCCTGCCTCTCAGTTACCGATTCTCCAAGCCGGGAGCTGCCCAGCACCGGCTGGGCTTCTCCCTCCCCTGTCCGCGCCGGGCAATCGCGCCCCTGTCTTTACCTGCGCTGCGCTGGTGGGCAGCTGATGCTCGGGCGCCGACAGCTGTGGATTCCGCCTTCCAGTCTCCGCGGCCCTGCAGGGGAAAAGGACGGGCGCGCCACAGCCGCTGAGCGACCCTGGGCTGCCCGACGGAGCTGCTTCGCAGGGCCGCCCAGCAAGGGGTAGCCGAGTCGAAGCAGCGCCGTTCCCAAGGCAGCCGCGGCGGCTTTTATCCTCCGCCCGGGGAGACAAAAGAGCGTGACGAGCGGGCCGTTGCGGCCAATCAGCGGAGCGCGGGGGCGGGCTCCCCGCACAGCCGCGGCCCGAGGGGGCGGGGGCGCAGCGGGCCCGCGGGGCGACAAGCGCAGCTTGGTTGGGTCCGCTGAGAGGATTTGCCTGTAACCGGGCAGGTTGCGACTCTTTCTCCCTCCGCCCACCTTACCCTTCTCCCTCTCTCTTTCTCCCTTGGCTTAGCTCCGCGTCTTGAGGCCAGGTGCATTAAACATGAGGTGGGATGAAAATCAAGTGAATAGTAAAAGTTCCTCACCTTTGTACAGGGGGAAGGGGCGGAAAAAGCATTCGCACTTTCTTTGTTGTAAATAGCCTTGCACAGCCCTCTCCTCTTTTATTGTGAAGGAGGTGGCAGTATGTCCATTTAACAGAGATGGCATTTGGATCACCAAGGCCCTCAACCAACATTCACTCAAGTATGCGTGCAAGACTGGCTGCATCAGAATCATTTCTGGAGCTTGTTTGAAATGCAGATTCCTGACCGGGCGCGGTGGCTCACGCCTGTAATCCTAGCACTCTGGGAGGCCGAGACAGGTGGATCGTTTGAGCTCAGGAGTTCGAAACCAGCCTGAGCAAGTTGAGACCCCGTCTCTACTAAAATTAGAAAGAAATGAGCTGGACAACTAAAAATATATATAAAAAATTAGCTGGGCATGGTGGCAGTCCTGTAGTCCCAGCTACTCGGGAGGCTGAGGCAGGAGGATGGCTTGAGCCCAGGAGTCTGAGGTTGCTGTGAGCTAGGATGACGCCACAGCACTGTAGCCCAGGCAAGACAGTGAGACTCTGTCTCAAAAAAAGAAAAAAGAAAGAAATGCAGATTTCTGGGCCCCATCTTTGGAGGATTCTGATTCATTAGGCCTAGGGGGGTTGGAGGTGTGGTTTTTGTATTTAGTATAATTTTAACCAGCGCTGTAGCTGATTCTTAGATGTAGAGAGGTTTGTGAATAAGTAAATGGGCCTGTCTGCAATGTATCTGTTTACAGCATATCTGTGTGAAATGCAACTCCAGAGCACATGTTCCTACCTGAAATCCATGATCTTCCTGAAATTGTCTGCAAAGATTTTGGACTCTGTATGAGGCCAAATAATGGCAACCAAAATATATCAGGTCCTAAACCCTGGAACCTGTAGATGCTACCTTATGAAGTAAAAGGGTTTTTGCAGGTGTGATTAAGTCAAGGATCTTGACTTGATTGTCCAGGAAGATCCGAAATCCAATCACAAATGTCCTTATGAGACAGAGGCGGAGGGAGAGTTGATGCACACATAAGAGAAGGCGATGTGAAGACAGAGGCAAAGACTGGAGTGATGTGACCACAGGCAAAGTAATGCCAGCAGCCACCATAAACTGGAAGAGGCAAGGAATTAAGTGCAGTCCTGCTGACACCTTGAATTCTGGCCAGAGAGACTGATGTTAAACTTTTGGCTTCCAGAACGGTAAGAAACTAAATCTCCCTTGTTTTAAGCCACCAAGTTTGTGGTAATTTCTTATGGCAGTGTTTTGGTGCATTTGGGCTGCTATAACCAAATACCATAGACTGGATGGTTTATAAACAACAGAAATTTATTTCTCACAGTTCTGGAGGCTGCAAAGTCCAAGATTGAGGCATCTGCATATTTGGAGTCTGGTGAGGGTCTGTTTCCTGGTTTGTAGATGGTGCCTTTTTGCTGTGTCCTCACATGAGGAAAGGGGTGAGCTAGCTCTCTGGGGTCTTTTTCATAAGGGCACTAATCACCTCCCAAAGGCCCCACCTCCTAATATTATCACCTCAGTGGATAGGATTTCAACATATGAATTTCTGGGGAACACAAACATTCAGAGACCATTTTAGGCAGCCATAGGAAACAAATATAGACTGTATGTTCTTATAAGGCATAGCTTTGTAGATTTTTTAATGGGTATGTGAGCCAATAATGGTTAAAAACCATTTTCCTACAATCTTTCTTCATCAATAAGTTCCTCTTTCAATTTGTACTTGAAGGAGAAGTGTGTGAAATGAAACACAAACCCCAGAATGACAGCTCTCTGCCACTGATAGAGTACTTCTGATTTTTGGCTCAAGGATGAGTTGCTAGGTTGCTTTTCTGTGATCCCTTGAGGGGATTTCTTTGCCAGATTTAGCATCACTGGCCCTAGACAAGGAGCAACTCCATAGAAGTGACATGCAGGGCTTTCCGGAGTATATGGGCCATGCAGCCAGTGGCTCAATGTATTAGTTTACTATGGCTGCTATAACAAAGTACCATAGGCTGGGTGGTTTAAACAACAGAAATTTGTTTTCTTACAGTTCTTGAAGCCAGAAGTCCAGATCAAGGTGCCAACAAGGTTGGTTTTTCCTGAGGCCTCTCTCCCTGGTTTGCACACAGCCACCCTCTTGCTAACTCTTGACATGGTCATCTCCTCTGCATGTGCACCCCTTGTGTCTCTCAGTGTGTCCAAATTTCCTCCTCTTATAAGGACACCAGTCAGATTGGGGTCCACTCTATGGGCCTCATTTTTAACTTAATGAATTGCCACACTAGAAAACAAATTTTTTTCCCCCTGGGGCCACAGTGTTTTATTAAAACAAAACGATCCTTTCTAATTTGTTATTTTTTATTGTTTTCTGTGTGTGAGTTATATGCAACACAATCTACGTTTTTAGAATTAAATTTTCAATGTTAATTGTAACAATAAGAACATCAACAAGTAAGATTTTCACGAACAAACTGCAGGGTTTTGCTTCCCAAGGCCCTGGGCTCAAAACTAGCCCGAGTTAAATACAACTCACATGGCAGTCAATGTGTTAATCACCTCTTTAAAGGCCCTGTCTCCAAATACACTCACATTCTGAGGTACTGGGGGTTAGGACTACAACATATGAATTGGGGGGAGGGGACACAATTCAGCCCATAACACTCCATTTTCCCTTGCTTCTGGTTCTGCGAAAGCATATCTCCCTTCCCTTCTGTAAAGTGTGGCTAGGAGGCTCCTGTGGGGCTTTTGGGGGTCAAGGGTTGTGGTGGTGGCATGTAGGGCACAAGTGGACTGCCCAAGTGCAAAGAAGTTGCTGTTACTTGTTCTTGATTCCTGAGGCTTGGAGGTGAGTAAACAGGCCGACGCCTTTTGGCCGCTGTTGGGTTCATCTTCAGCCTGCCAACGTGCTTTACCTGCTCCTTTTTGCTTTCTTATTTCCAACCCTGATACCTAGAATTCCTTGGAGTAAATGATCTCAATTTAGAGACAAAGTACCTTCATCTCAGGATTGTGGCCTTTCTCTTGTAGATGGAAGAGTGGGATGGTATTGGTGGAGGGTGGAGGGCTTTGGAGGTACAGAGAAGGCAGGGTGCTCACCTTGCAGTCAGGGGTGATGCTGGCCGTGGCTTAAGGGTTTTCATCAAACTCTTCCTTCTGCTTCCCAGTACTATGACATCTGACCTTGGCTTCTAAGTAGAATCTTGTTCTGCATTTAAGTTGGTTTCATCACCAAATCAGGTCATTTACAGTTGGACTTGGTGACATCAGAAAAGACAAAGACTACATC